CTCCATAAAAGGAGGGGGGTGAGTCTCTGAGGAGAAGTGGGGCGGGTTTAGGGGCGCGTCTGGGGCACTCACCTGGCTGCTGCCACGCGCCCCCGCCCAAGATCCGAAGCCTGGGGCACCTGCTTGAGGAGCCTCCACCCACATTTCGAGGTGGGAAGGAACCCAGATCCGAGAGGGGGCTGCAGCCTGCCTCATCCCCACCCTGGGACACCTCGCCAAGTCCCCACTCCCTCGTGAGATGCCAGGCCGCGTCCTGAGCCGGGAACTGGGCTGGATGGAACGAAGAGAAAGGAGCTGCTCCTGAGGAACCCCTGGGTTCTGCGTCGGAATCCACGGGGCGCACAGAGCGCCACCTCCGGCCAAGGCGCAGCACCGAGCGCGTCGGGGCGCGGTGGGAGGGGGGGAGCAAGGCGCAGACCCGAGTCCAAACGGGGCTGGACGGCTCACTCCGCACCTTGAAAAGGAACGCCCGGGTCGCTGTGTATTGCACCCTCTTAGACAGGTGGGATTACACCCCGACGACTAGCCCAGGAGCTCTCCTTCAGGGAGGTGTGCTGCGGGGGCTGGAGGGGGGAGCGTCTTGTCAACCCCAAAGCTAGACGGTGTAGGCCCCTGGGAACTAGGAGACGCCCGGTGGGTGGGTCGGGAGCAGAGAATTCCACCCACCCAGCTATCACCCCCATCTCTTGAATTAACAACGCCCTTCCCCCTCGGGCCACGGCCGCCCACCCTCCGGACAAAGGCGCAACTCCGGGAGGGTCTTTCATCCCTAGCTCGGTCAAGGCATTTCAAAGGCGGAGTCTGGAGGGCGCTCTGGGGGCGCTTGTCTGCCCCCCCCATATACCTGGGGCAGGTCCTCCCCTGCTCTTTCTGGAAGGCCCTCGTTTACTAGCAGTTCCACAGGCCTCCGCATTTCCGCAGCCCCCCACTCCACGTCCCCGCCGCTACCCCTGGTGGGGAGGGGGGTCAGGAAGGAGGACCCGGCAGACTAAGGGAAACTTGGAAAGGTGGAGAAGCACCTGAAAGCCCGGCCGTCTCTCCGGGTGGAGCCTCCTGCTGCTCTGGAGGGGCTCTCTGGAAGGCGGCCCCTGAACGAGCCCTCACCTTCTTATCCTGGGAGTTGTGCGCATGGTGACCCGCTCGGCCTCGGACTCCTTACGGGCAGAGGGGACGCGGGGACACCTTGGGGTTCGAGGCCCCCGTGTGACAGCGGACGTGGGAATCCGGGAGGATGGTCGCGTTGCATTTCGTACAGGATACCGGCCCGTCCTCCCGGCCCCAACCCCCGCATGGAGCCGCGGGTTCCTGGGACCCCGCCTGGACTCTGCTTCGATCTGCCCACCTTACCGGCCTGGTGCTATAGGGGCGCCCAGCTGCAGTTCAAGGAGGGTGGGGAAGATCGGGGACAAGGAAAGAGGCGCCCTGGGCTGAACCCTGGGGCCAAAGCCAGGCAGAGCCTGGGCACATCACCCCGGAACGCGGGAGCTGCGGGGCGTGCGGCGCAGGCATCTCTCAAATCGCCGGCAGCTATTAAAAATAAAACCGCGACACGTCGCCATGGCGACCACGACAACAGCAAGAGCGAGGGTGGTAACTTGGGCGGCCGAGCGACAGACGCCGTGGCGGGGAGTGGGGGAGCTTGGTCACACCGAGCCCTTGAGCCCCCGGGCGCCCTGCTTGGGACTGGGACCTCGACCCCCCACCCCCCTTTCCCAGGCCCGGGAAGAAGTGAACCCCTAGACACCGCTTTCTGCGAACTGGAAATTGAGACTCAGTAGGACAGCCCGCTCCAAGAGGCCACAGGCCTGGATGAGTACCACGCCACGTGGGCCTGCCCACCCCCGTCAAACTACAGACTCATTTCACCTCAAGTAGGGGGTTGCTGTGTGAGGAGGGATGTTCTGGTTTGGAGTAGCGGATGGAGAGGTACAAGCAGAGCCAGCGGGGCCCGCGGAGTCCCTTGTGCGGGGGCCGCAGCACCTGTCCCGCCCTACCCGTAGTGATCCCAGCGGGTGGAAGGGATCACATGCTTCCTTCTGGCTGGGAGTCGAGTTTCACTTCCAGCCGCTATTAGGCGGTTCACACGGTTCACTGCAAACATTTGATAATGAGGCTAAATATACTTTGGAGTTGGAGGAGGCGTGGGTGCCGCTGCCCGAGCGCGTGGGCGCGGCACTCCGGGCTCCTCGGGGCATTCCCGCCCAGTCCCTGGCTGAACGAGCGCGGACTCCGAGACCGACAGCAGGCTTGGTGCCGGAAAAATCTCTCCCATGCGCTCCTGGCGGAAAAAGTTTGGCCCTATCCGCAGGCGCGTGTCCGGGAGACTGTGGGCCCCAGAGGTCAGCCAGAGGGACCCAGGCGGAAAAAGCGGGTGCAGCTAGGAGCGCCAGATGGCGGGACGAGGTACTGGTGTGAGAGAAAGTGTACGTGGCGGCAAGGAGTCCCGTCGCCCCCGGAGCCTATGCTTCCGGCAGACCCGAGGCTCCTATGCACGCCCTGACCTGCCCGCGGGCGCATAATTAAGGTGTCAGGTGCACCAAGTGGGCCAAAAGGGGGGCCAGGCATCCTTGGTGACCGGCCGGGTCTGCATCTTTCTGTTTCCCTCCAGGTACCACCCAAAACTCCAGGGAGAGGGGTGGCCTTTCCTCCTGAACCTAGGGCTTTGTACCTATGTAGGTAGCCCCGCTTCACCTTGTAACCACCCCCAACCCATCACCACTCACACTGGCATGGCCAGTGCCCTTTCCAGGACTTGGCACTAGTAGTTGCAAAATTATTGGGGCCATTGTTATTTTAGGAGTAATGACTGATGCTTGCTGCACACCTGGGTTGTGCCAACCTGGTGCAAATCACTTTTCCTGCACAATTTCATTTCCCACTCATTGCAAGCCTAAAACATATAGTGAGACCCCTCTGGAGGAGGGACATTTGCAGGCTTGTAAGACACCTATCACAGGATCTTCCATGAGTACCAAAATTGGAATTCCTGATGTGGTGAGGGCTTATGGCCTGGACTGTGAAGGCAGATGTTGTCCCCTAGCAGTAGGGCTGACCCACCAGAGCCCATCCCAAGGTGCTGGGGAGGGGAGGGGAGAGATATCCAAGTTCTCACTTGACCTTGGCCTCATTGCTGTGATTTCTCCCTAGCCTGCCGTAAACTCAGTTCCTTCATCTGGAAAACAGGGGAATAATAGCTGTCACCCTGTAGGGGAGTGTCTATGGCAGCTCAGCTCCTCTGTCCACGGAGAAGACCTGGCACACACCTGGGACCCTTGCCAGTGTGACACTGGCCTGCTGTTTGGGTGAGGCCAGCTGGATGCTGAATCCAGGCTCCAGCCCCAGTGCCAGAGCAGATTTCAGGACAATTTGTAGTGATGAAATACCGTCCCTTTATCTCTGGGCAAGGCTTTCTTAGTTCTGCACAATTAATCCAGAAGCAGCTTAGCCATGTGGGCCAGCTCCTTGAAGATCAAACGTGCCTAGTGCAGGCGTTAATTAAGTCATTATCTCAGGCCCTGAGGCTAAGGATCAGGCCTTTCCAGTTCAGGCTCCCCAGAAGGGGAGATAAGCTGCCAGCAGGGTGGGAAGCCACTCTTGATGTTGTTTTTCACTCCCTATTAAGTATTTTTATTTTCTCATTTAAATACACAAACAGAAGTGAAGTTTAAAATAGCACACAAGCCTACAGTCATCTTGTGAATATTTTTTTGAATGAAAGACCTATGTTAAGGGACACATGGTGGTTTCAGGAATAAAGTTAAAGAGCCTAGCTCCTCTCCAGGACAGGAGCACCAGCCAGGTGTGTCGTCAGGCATTTAAATAGCTGGTCAGAATGCAGACCTTAGTTTAGTGTAAAGGTCAAGCATAAAATTCCTCATTAATAATTTTACCCTAATTACAGGTTGAAATGATGGCATTTGGGATATATTAAGTTAAATAAAATGTTATTACAATTCAATTATCTTGTTATTAGTTTGTACATTTATTATTTATTCATTCATTTTGACAATACTGGGAATTGAACCCAGACAGCACTGAGCTACATCCCCAACCCTTTTTACGTTTTTATTTTGAGGACTGGGGATGTAGCTCAACGATGCCACTGCCTGCCTTGCAGAGTTCAATCCCCGGTGCAAAAAAAAAAGTATTTTGAGATAGAGCATCCCTAAGTTGCCCAGGCTGGCCTTGAACTTGTGCTCCTCCAGCTTCAGCCTCCCAAATCACTGGGATTACAGGTGTGCACCACCATACCCAGCTAAAATGACGTGTAGGTCACATGATATTTCTGTAGGACAGTGCTAGTTTCAACACCTAGAGTGCATAGCTGCACAGTAAAGCCAACCAGACTAGGACACCAGGGAGACGACAAACCCTGAGAACCTCAGGAGGGGGTAAGCATACAGGCCACCTGCCCTGCCTACACAGCCCTGCCCTCTCCAACCTCAGCCCTGTGTGACCTCAGCATGCTTCGTGGCCTCTTAGAAACTCAGCTCCCTCCTCTATGACAGCCAGCATTCATGCAACAGATATGTGCTGTGCACTGGGCTGAGCTTGGGTCACAACATAGTAACAGACCTTCATGGAGCTCACAGTCTTCAGGAAATAATGAATGACAAGTGTGTGCCATTTCAGATGTCTGGGAAGGGAGACTTGGAGAAGCAGGCAGTTTGGTAAGATGTAGGCCATGAGTTCTAGGCAGATGAGCAATAGCAAGTGCAAGAGCCCTGAGGCAGGAACCAGCTTGGTGAAAGGGGATGTTGCCCTTAGGAAACGATGGGCTGGAGAGGCAGATCTCAGGGGCCTTGAGACCAACGTACAGAATCTGAGTTTTATGGGTGAAGCCACTGGAGGGCTTTGGGCAGGGAATGCAATGTAATAGCTATCTGTCAAGATTTCTGCACACTGTGAACTCAGGAAGGGCTCAGCAAGAGCACACAGATTCAGTCAGCATTGGTGCCAGCACTGCACCATGGGGCTGGCTGGGCACTGCTCCCCAGCCAGTCTGCTTCCTCACAGCTAAGCTGAGTCCCTTTCAGGCCAGCCGTGGGTGCCACGTGATGTCACGGCCACCTTATAACATCAGGCTCAGCTGTGCCAAGCCCAGCTGGCCTCCAGGGGAGGGGATGGGGACCCCACCAGGACAGAGAAGCAGCCAGAGTTGTAAAGGACCCTTGTGCTTATTCCTGGAGAAAGGACCATGGGAGGCCAAAGGCAGCTGCAGGGAGCTCGGGCCCCTTGAGTCCCAGTGGAGACACAGCCAGAGCCCCATGTTCTTAGCACTCACCCATTCCCATGGTAGAAACACTCACTCGGGGACCTACGCCAGGCACCAGACTGCGGTCACAGTATGGCTGGGAGGAGCTGCACCCACCTCTAGGTCAGGCCCTTTAGGCAGCAAGAGGACAGACAACTAGACTTAATCAGCCCACTCTGCAGTCACCAGTGGTCCCTGTGAGTGGCCACCAGCGTTCCCCCAGGGACATATCCTTCCTCCTTGGGAACTCATCCCCTGCCCTGTGGGCAGGGTTTTGTCAGAGCCTGGACCAGCTCAGACTCTGCCCGTCCCATGTCACCTGGGCTGGTTCCTCCATGGGTTGGGGTAACTTCACCCCCCACCCTGTCCACTCCCAGCATCCCTGCAGCACCGACCCCCCTGAAGGGACAGTGCAACTCCAGCCCTGGGGACACCACCCTCCTGTCGCCTGCCACATGCAGGCCCTGTGAGCCCTATAGAACATTGGCCTCTGGGTACAAATGGGCTGAGGGCAGCTCCACCCTCACTGTGCTTCACCTCTCTGAGCCTCTAAGACCTCAGAGATGAAAAGGGACAAAACAGCAGAGTGGCTGCCGATCAGGGTGATCCGAGGCAACATGGATGACAAACTCAACCTGTGGGCAACCACAGCCATGTCATGATGGCCCAGCGTGAGGACAGACACACCTGGCATACCGTGTGACAGCAGCCCTAGGCAGGCACCGTCAAGGTGGTTACTTCTGTAGGACTTGATGACACCTGCTCCAGTGACCCTCTAGAGCAGTGCATCAGCCCTCACATACTCAAGTGTCACCAGGGTCATAGCCGCCCCTCAATCCAGGAAGCCCAAAATATAACACAGCAAACTGGTATGTG